CGCTTGGCCGGGCGGTGGCGGTCCCTGAGGCTGGCGCAGAGCTGCCGCCCCCTGCTCATGGCAGGGGGGTGGAACCAGATGAGCTGTAAGGTCCCTGCCAACCCAAACCATTCTGCGATTCTGTGGGTGATGGGTTTAGCGCCTGCTCCCTCCCTCCTGCGGGAGGGAAGCATTGCCTTGAACCTCAGAGTAACCGTGGCGTGCGCAGGCGGCTGAGCGCAGGGGACTGGGGTTTCCTCGTCCGCCTTCCTCTCGGGGTGCTGAGCGTGGGAAGGAGCGGGACCGCGGCTCTGCCAGTGACGGATGAAGAAACGGGGGCTTGGCTGGAGCCAGCGCAGCTGGGTGGATGGAGGCTGCCTGCCCCCACCAGAGCGTCACCTGAAGCAGAAGCTCCCAGTTGGGTTTCTTCTTCAACGTTTTGGCTTGACGCCTGTAGCTCTCTGAAGACAAGGGGGTTTTTTTGGTTGCCTTTTTTTTTCCTTTGTAAGTGCCCATGTCTGGCGTAATGCTTCGGAGGAGTAGAGAGAGCGAAAAGGATGCAGCGTGGCAGTGCACAAGATTTGTCTTGTGAGGGTTTGTGGTTCAGGGTCTCACTGGCTGCCCGGCGAGCGCCCAGCTCTGTGTTCTCTATTGCGTGTCTCCTCCTCTGCTGCCGTGTGGTCCTCTATTGGCACTTGCAGCAGCAAGAGTGGTGGCAGAGGGATTTGAGGACTGCTGTACCCTTCCTCTGGCCGGTGTTTTTCTAGCGTGCATGGAGAGCGATGTCAGAAAACTAGTTTTAAGTACATGAATGTAGGTGGCTTAATGAATTTAGTTATTAAAACAAAACTTTTGGGGAAAAAGTTGCCCACCGAAGACTCTTTATATGTGTTGAATAAAAGGAGAAAAGCAAACTTTACACTTTGAAAATAGTTGCTTTTAATACTTCTGGCACTCTCCAGCAGAAACTTAACTAAATAATACTATTTTGTGCCAACTTGCCCCCCACCCCCCCATTTGATGTAATAGCTTGACTAAGTTAACGTTTTAATGTCTGCTTTTAGCTAGAGATGTTACTTAAATTTAGAGCGCTCCTGACTTGGCCTGTATCGGGGAGGCCCAGGTGGCACTTAGGTTGGCCTCTAGGTGGTTGGGGCTATTCCACATTCCCCACCCTCCCAGTAATGCCTTTACTGAGGGGTGAGGGCAGGCAACTAACTGAGATTGCCCCTCCAAAATGGCCATTTTGAAAGCTTTGGTGATAGAGTACTTGGATATTTTATGCTCTGTGAACTCAATACCTGGTTCTTCTGTTCTTTCCCAGTCCCTACATAATTTTCCCCTGTTTCTGCCTTTGTTCTATCTTGACTGAGTATGAGGGCTACTGTGTGTCACTTAGAGCATTACCAAGCATCAGGGTTTTTTTTCTGTTATTTTTTTTTCTGTTCTGAGCACCCACATAAGAACTTGCAATAGCACCCCCTCGAATTTAGTCCCTTTTCCCAATGCCGAAGTCGTAGTACCAAAGGCGCTGTCTTGGTGCCCTCATGCCTTCTTGCTGCAGTTATTGCCCAAGAGACTTTCTGCGTTTTTCTGCCTCTTTGGTTCTACAGTTAATTTGTAAATCGTTGTTATTTTTGTTATCTGTGGATCTAGTCAAATTGTGTATGGTAATGAGAAAAGCGTAGAGAATTTTTTCCTTTGTCTTACTGAAACATTTGGTCTACCACTGCGATTAGTTGTCTTCTGGATAGTTTTTCATGGTGTGCTGTATCTCTTCACTGCATCAGAGAAGTAACAATGTTATGGTGAGTCATTTTTAGCATCTACACAAGTTGGTTGGTGTGAAAAGTGTCCCTCTGCACCAAGCTGCTGATTCTTATTTTAAAATTCTAGACATGAGGTTGTGTCTTCCCTCCCCCCCTCCCCATGCTTAGCCTTTGGGAGCTTCAGGAGGTCACTGTAAGCTACTGGTGTGTTAAGCGATCGCTGCTCTGTGTTTTTAATATTCCTTTTTGCATGCTTGAGTAGGCAGGTGTTACACAGTGGTAGCAGCAGTAGATTTTGGAAGGTGGTGTTCTCAGACCTGTGAAGGTTAAATGTGCTTAGCTTGCTAAGCTGCTTTGTTTACTATTATGAGGCTTTAGTGTGACTTAAGGAAGGAAAGACTACAGGGAATACCCAGAAAGAGAGGAGATGTAGTTAGCAAATGCGGCCTAGCTGAGATTCGGAACGAATGTATAGAGTTCCCTGGTTTTCATATGTATTTTTTTATTTTTCAGGATTTTCCTGAGGATCACAGTGTGATGCTTCCCGTTAGAATTTCCAAGAGCAGAAACAGACTGAAATGATTTTTAATGACTTGAGAGAAAGCGAAGAGAGGAGCAAAGAATTGGTGTCAGATTTGGGTCTAAGATTTGTGATGGGAAATTCCTTGATGCTTTTTTGTAAGCTTTCTCAGTTTCTCACTCAGATGTATTTAGAAGTCACGGTTTGAGAAACAGAGTATAAAACAGATTTTATTTTTTCTTAAACATATAAGGAGAATATATCTGTTAGAAAGTGATTATTTAGACTTGCTTATACAATAGGCCATATTTCAGCACAATTTTTTCAGTATTTATTTCAAACAGGTGTCTGTACTGGCCGTTATACTGTTCAAATCAGTGGCTGGACCCTGCATCCGGGTGAAATTTAGAAGTAGTGCAACTAGTTGAAAGTCTGTATTTGTTTTGCTTTGTGTAACTTGATGTTCAAGTGTTTGAGTACACTAGCTTTTTTGTTTGCTTAGTCTGTGGTTGGCTAGATTAGTGTTACTTATGCCAGTAAAAACAAACAAAAAAACTCCTGTAGTTTGTTTTTTTTAATGTAATTCTTTGTAATTCATGAACAAGATTTTACAGGTGGAAAATAAAGACATCTAGAGAAATTGTGATGCTGGTAGCCCTACTTTGATTTCAGAGTTACTCCCTTTTTCTTTTGACTGGCTGGGGGGGTGCCTTTGGTTTGAATCAGTATCAGATAAAAACAGCAGATTGATATTTGAGTCATTTCTGCTGTTTGGGCTGCTGAGATTTGTGTTGCTCCTGTTGCTCTTTTGCCTGCTGCATAAAGTACCGTGTTTCACTTGGTGTGTTTTTACTTTGTTATTTGCTCTTGCTTGTTAGTCTGCGTTCAGCAATTCAGCATCCTGTAATGCTGATGGTGTTTTTGCAGGAGTGAGGTTTAGGTCTTAATGTTGGCACCCACCAGGCTTTCACTAGGTTTTAACATTACACGTTCTGCAAAGTTAGACCAGTATGGGTGCTGAGCATAAAATGGTGTGTATATGCACTCATACAAATATCTGTTCAATATAGTTTTGTTCATATGTTCTTAGTTAGGGATTAGTGTTCTAATTGGCCTTCTGTGGTAGAAAAAGTTCTTATGCAAATACAGTTATTCCAAGAAAAGCACTTATGTTGTGTAGGCAAATGTAATAAACACAAAGTGCAAAGCATTCATGTAACAGTGCTTAGAAACACTGATTGATACATCCGGAGTACTTAGGGTCCAAATTTTCTTGTCTACAATGATTCGATTTGTTTATAAGAGAAAATTTGCTGTGTATAGGCTTTCAATAACTTTAGGCATTTTCTTATTTTTTTTCCCTGCATTATTTTTCTTACTCGTAATGCATTTTGAGCTGTTATCTAATTTGCTATGAGAAACTTGCACAAATGATTTCTGTATTTTAATTTATGTCACAATATGCTCTCAATAATTGGTATTTGCAAAAGCTTAAACCTCTGCCAAGTTCAGTAATTGCTCAGTTGTCAAATTAGTGAAGTAAATGCTCTGTGGAAAGCTGTAGGAACATTGCATCTGCCTGCAGCCCGCTTATCTCTGAAATTACCTTCAGATTCTGTTACTGAACTGTTTAATGGTGGGTGCAGTTGACAGAAATGACTCTCACGTGTTAAAAATAAGCATTCATGTTTTATTTAATTCATATACTCAAATCGGAAGGCTTAGGCCAGCTAGCCAGTTTGAGTCAAAACTGTAAACACTGTATGGAAGTGCTCTGGCCCTTTTGCTTAGTAGAATCTTGTTAGAAAGCATGTGGTTTAAGGGTATCTTGACTGCACAGCGTGTTCACAGGGAGGTGTTCTCATCTGGTCACTGCAACATCCAAAACAGCAAACGTTTGGAAAGCTGATGTAGACTGTTGGGAATTCATGGTCTCCGTGGCTATGTTTTTGAGAACAGTCTCAAGCTGGTCTAACAGCACGTTGCTGCTCAGAGGCAGAGGTACCTTCCTGGCTGTGATCTGCTGCTGCTTTCCTTGTGCTGATACCACTAATCAGATGTAGCATGAAGTCATCTGGATATGTCTGCTGGTGAGGTTCAGTCTGTCTGTGGAAGGATAGGAAAGATGAATTGAAGCCAGTGGGAAAGAGGGGTCAGGACTATGCAGCTGGGAGGGTGAGGTGAGAAGAGAGCATGTCCTCTGCCCCATCCACAGTCAGTGAGCTGTTAACGTGAGATGAGTGGATGTAGAATTGTGGCCCTGGGTGCTTTATCGGGTTTGGCCACCTTTGTACCGTATCTCGTGTGCAGAAAGTATAATCAGTAGTTAAGGAGGCAGCTGTTTTCCAACTGACTGGTGTGTTACCATCCCACAATAAGTAAGAGACAGTATAAGTAAGTAGAAAACAAAAGTGGAAATTGGAAACTAGTATGGAAAATACATTTTCTTTCTGATACTATTTTTAGTGGGGAGGAGCTGGATGTAAAAATGACACAGCCTAAGGCTGTAGGGAAGGAAATACAGCTTTTGAGGTATTACCATCTCTGCAGCAGTACTTCTACACGTCGTCTAATTGGATTTTACTTTTTTCTTCTTGTGACAGAGAAACAAATGTGCTGAATAACGGCTTTGTTTTGTTTTCAGGATGATCTACATGAAACTCAGAACTCTGCATCAGCCACAGATGAACTTTCTGCAACTTCATTTATAGAATATCCAAAGAACAAGCCATTTATTAATTCAGATTTGCTGCGTTCCCCACAGAAACCAGTAATTCCATATCCTGAAAGCAACAGCAGAGGTAATAGTTCAGCAAAGTTGTATTCTTACCTATTTCCAAATCATGTGGTGAAGCACTGTATGTCGACATCTACAAAAGTTGCAGTCTTTTTATCCTTTTGTTACTTCCCAGTGATGTGCAGGTCGCCAGCTTTGTAGGTCCTTTGCACTTCTCTTTCTGAAGAATACATAACGGAAAAGGTAAATCTTACAGCTGTAGAAAGATGCTTCTCTTGAGTAGTAGAGAGCTGTAAAATTGGATGAGTACTCTGTGAAATTGTCCTGATGTTTTTATTTGCCCCTTCTCCAGTCCTCCTCTCCTTCAGTCTTTCCTTTCCTGAGTTCACAGCTGAAGTTGAAATAAGGACACTTTAGTCCCATAAATGGTTTGGTGCAAAGGAAGAGGATTGGTGCTGTTGAAATGGGAAGTCTTGTCATGGACAAAGGGTGTGGTGAGAATATTTGTCACATCAGTGAAGACAGAACATAGAGAAAAAAATGTTCTGCAGTACAGTGCTGAACAGACATCACAATGCCAAAAAAGGAGATGTTATTTCCATTTATTCTTCCTTGTTTCTAGGCTATTCTTTCTCCCTTCTTTCCCACTCTAGTCCTGGTGTCCATCTCCAGATAAACAGATCTGTCTTGCTTGACTTGGCATGAACAAAACCATTCTTGGTTAGTTTTCTGTTGTGTTGGTGAGCTGGCTTGTCATGCAGGGAGGTGTGCTCAAGAGCTGCTGTGGGGTAAGTGCAGGAGGTGGCACGGGGGCTGGGAGGCGAGAGCAGGACTGATCCTTTAATTGGATGTGTTTGGCTCAGGGTCCTTGCAAAAATACTACCTTCAAGACTGGAGTTGCTTGGAGACTTAAGGGTACAAAAAACTTGATATTTTGGTCCTTATAGGAGAGAAAAGTGAGAAAGATTTAGGATGAATCCTAATATTACTCAAACTAAGTTAAAAATAGGCATGGTAGCCTCAAGTTCCTGTTCCAATAACATAATTCATGTCTGAAGTCCTAGAGACTGCTGTGTTAATGACCTAGTAGATGAAATCTCAATTCTTGAAATGCTGTTTGAAATGCAGTGTGTGCTCCCATATGCTCAATGCCATCAGTTTTGAGTGCTGTTGACACAAATCTAAGGGAACCTTGCAATGGATAAAAAAATGGGATGTGCAGGAAAGAGCTTCCTTATGAATTACTCATGCAGGCATATTTTTGTAGGTTATGCTGCATTAGTGACAAACTTTTGACTTGCAAGTTTTCACTTGGTGACTTTTTTCAAGCTGGGAATTTGCCAGCTCTGAAATAAATACAGGTGGAGGGAGGCAATCTGATAAGATTATATCCCTTTTTAAAAATTATGAAATGTCTTCATTTTCAAAAAGTGTAGAATATGAATATGTACTGAAAATTAAATCCAACAGGCAAATGGTCCAATATCTTACTCTTTTTGCATAGCTTTTCAAAATGCAGAAATGTTCTGGAGTATGTATTTCAGTAAGTTTAAGGATAAGCTAATTAACTTCAGATGGGAAAATAGATTTGATTGTTCTTGGAGGTCCTTACTGCTCCTCCCACCCTCCAATTTAAAAAAAAATCATATAGAAAAATCCTGAAATTGAGTGTAGTAAATTCTGCTTGTTTTGTTTTGAATTTCTTTGGGGGGGTGGGATGGGATGTGTGTGTCTCAGCATACCCACTTGGTTTTAATACTCTCACAAGGATGACTGAATGGTACGTGGCACCCTGTTGGGTTTCACCTTTATCTGTTCATTGCTTGAAATGCTTCATTGCTGTATTTTGTTAGTCGTTATTGTAAATATACAGAGATTTCAATTAGCTCTAGGGGTAATAGTAACAAAGCTGTTCATAGTTTCAGCTATGCACATTTCAGCTGGATCGTGATAACAGGAACATAAATAGAGGGTACAGTTGGTGACTCTGATCTTGCACACAGGGCCAAGTTATCTATGGCTTTCTTCTTAACTGTGACTGCCGTCGCCCACTTCCTGTTTACTGAACGGGTACTTTAAAGCAGATAGCTTTTAGTGATGTGATGAGTTTTTCCTCTGGAAAACTCATCCTGATAATTTTCTCTTTCTTTTTTGTAATGTGATGCTCAAACAAATACACAGTCCCAACTTCTCTGTGTGTGTGCATTCAGTAATAGAGATGGTGCTTTCTTTCTCTAGAGTGGGTTTAAGCACAAAGGAGTGGGTTAATGTGACCTCGCGGATTAGTCTGCTATACGAGCTGTCTGTACAGATGTTCCTGTGTTTTACTTGAGTGGGACTGTATGGGGGAGAGGGCTTATCATTATGGTTCCCTTTGCAGAATTAAACAATACAGCTAAAGGACGTAATACATCAGATTACCAGCAGATGGTCTAATTGAAGGTGATGTGAGTTCTGTTACAACTGCTTTTCTTTTTGTGGTGATGAATATATAAAGGTTTTGTTGAATGATTGTCAAACAGAACAGAATTGGAACAGAAAGAGAGAAAGTTGTTCAGCACAAAGGAGATGCATGTCTTGAGGAGGAGGGGAACACAAGTGCGAAAGCAGAAGAATCAAAGAAGAGCTGCTGCTTGGAGAAATAAACATCTTTATAGCTCATCTAATTATTCTGCTTTGTGATCATTAATAGGAGTGTTGTGTTTGTGTATCTGTTGTGCTAGCAGTCGTGGAGCAATAATAGCATAGGGAACTGCCTCTTTCATTATCTTTTGATAAAGAGTCAGAAGATGCACTGTTTGCACTTAACCTACAGAATATTTATGTGGCTTGTTCTGGAAGATGGGTGCATCTTTTCCAGATGTTTCAGATGAAGGCATGTGGCAAGGGCATCTATTTGAGATTGGTTTTAAAATCAGTTAATGTCTAAAGGGAAGCAGGTCTAAATTCCTGTAAGGAGTCATGGTTGCTGGTAAGGAACACTCTGACTTTCTTACATAATGTGCTTCAATAAAAACTTTTCCAGTTCAATGTTACCTTGAGGTGGTGATTTAATGGTGTCTAACAAAAGGTACGTGTTCCGTTGCAGCAATATTTTCTGCTCTGAAGAATCTCCAGGAAAAAATTAGTCGGCTGGAGTTGGAACGGCTTCAGGCAGAGGAGAATGTAAAACACCTCAGCAGGGAAACAGCAGACTATAAAAACGTCCTGAGTGAACAAATGCAACACAAAGAGCGTGACAAGACTGAAGTGTCAAAGAAAAATCAAGGTTGTTTGCAAACTTTATGTAGATACTACGGAACACTAATGTGGATGAAACTTGATTTTTATCAATGCATAAAACTGTTTCAGTGTATTTTGTTCAGTATCTGTTCCTTTGCAGTGACACATGGAGTTATGAAGAAATATTTTTAAAAGCATACTTTGTTTTAGGGATTTGCATACATACAAAAGTTCATTAGGCTTAATCTGTGAGTTTTAGATGGTCCTTTTCTTGTTTGTTTTGGAACTGTCCAGAGCACAGAAAAAAATCCCAGGAACAAGCAGAGCATGATTTCACTTTTCTGCCTTCTATTATCTTCAGAACTGGCTTCTCAGCTGGCAGCTGCTGAGTCGCGGTGCAGCCTTTTAGAGAAACAGCTGGACTACATGAGAAAAATGATCCAGCATGCAGAAAATGAGAAGTCGCATCTCTTGGAGAAACAGGTGTGTTCTCAAGATGATCTCGGGGTGAAATTATAAAAGTCATGAGCTATGTCATGATTTTTTGTAGCTAGTGTAATTTTAATATCTTTAAATGTGGAGGTCTATTTCAGCTGCCCTTTATATACTTAGGTATGGATAATTTCTCTACTTAAACTTCCTAGTCTTATCAGGACCCTGGTATTTTCTGTCTGTGCACCTGCCTCTAAGGCAATATTAGGCTCTGATATCAATAAGAATTGTTTGCTTCTGCGTGATTGGCTTGCTACAGTAGCTCATCCTTATCCCTCAGTGTTACATCCATGTGCCACTGGAAAAAAAAAACCCTCCCTTTTACACTCTTCAGATGTTTGGGAATTTTCTTTGAGTACTACTTTTGCTAAACTGGGGCTGAAATACCGATTCTCTAGAAATGATAGTAAAATTTCTATTTCCCATTATCAGGGATTGTGAGATTTGGCCTATATCTGAAACGAGTTTGAATTTTATTGTATAGGAGTTTGGATCACCTGGGGCTCTCTGTTCATTGGTCACTGTGTCTGTCCTGTTTCAGTTGATTAAGTATTTACTGAAGAACAAAAATTAAGCAAGCTATCTCTAATAGCTGAGTAATGAGGGTTTTTTACCGCATTGGGTTCGGAGGGAGGAGAGACTTTGCAGAATTCTCTCTCATCTGAGTCTGGCTGAGTGTGAGGTTCCCAACACTGGTGGATCAGTGGTGCACTTTGTGCTCTGGCCGTAGCACCATCTAAAATTGCACAAAGTCGTAGTTTCTTTGGACTGTTTATGGGGCCTCCTTTGTGCTGTAGACACAAGACTTGCTACAGATGGTCTTGTTTCATTGTGTTTGTAATTGTTTTGCTTTTCACTTCTTGCTTCAAGGGTTCATTGGAGAGGGATCGGCTTCTTGATCATTCACATGTTCAGTCTAAATTGGAAAAGCTGGATATGCTGGAAAAAGAGTACAGCAGACTTACTACGATGCAATCCATAGCAGAGGTGTGTCATTTGTACTCGATACTCTATCCAGTTTCTCTTATTTATTGTTATCAGCACTTATAGCTGTATATCAGTAATATAGCTGAGCAAAACTTTGTGCTGTAGAGAAAAAGAGCAACTAAACATCTTTTTAAAGCCGAAGTGTTGTAAAAAGTTGCAGGTGTTTCTGGAAGTCTGCATGGCCAGGTAGGCTTTAGGTCACTACGCTTGGCTTAGCCTTGATGGCATCTGTTGGTATTCCTTTTTTGTGCCTCATTGGTGCATAGGCGTGCAGGACTGGGCATTGCTAAACTCCCAGCTTCTGAGTTGCCTTGCGTGCTGCTGAATGCTAGCAGTTATATTCTGTTATGACCCAGATTTGACTTGTGTGGGTTTGTGTTTTGTTTTCAATTTTAGGCACTTGCCATCCTCCTTAGGAAACTAAATTGTTACTAGTTATTTTGCCTGTGGAATTCTGGACCATAGCATTGTTAGGTCTGTAGCGCTGGCTGTCAGTGGGTTTGAACCAGCCTGCCTCTTCAGGATTCCTTTTGATTCAGGAGCTTTTAAAAGTAGAGCATGACTGTGTTTGATCATATTCTTCCTGTGTACCATCTGTGGTGTTGGCTTCTGAAGTCCGGTCCGCATACTGCTTTCTGTGCTGTGGAGAGACCACAAGACTGCAAAGCCTGGGAACTGCAGAGGGCTTAACCAGGCAGAGGCTTCCACCTGCAAATTTCTTCCCTGCTCCCCCAAAAGGAGCAGACAGCACGTGATTAGATTGCAGCATTGAGGACAGCTCTGGACTCTATCGGAATTGTCAGCTTGCCACTCTGCACACCAGCCCTTACCAGGTGCAGAAGTAGGTGGTGTTTTTCAGGGAGTACATAAGGAGGTGTTTGACAGTAAATCTTTAGCTCAGTGGTTTGCTGCAAGACCTTTAGATGCTACAACTATTCTTGGAAGTCCCTGGCCGAAGGCAGCTGTAACAAGCGGTTCTCAGATCTTGACACCCCACTGTGGTGAGCTGCGGTTGTGGAGAACAAGTGCCTGCGTTGTTCACCTGGGCCAAACTCTTGCAAAGAGAGGTGAGTGTCTCCTGGCCCTCATTGGCTAAAAGTAGCAGTAGGTTCCTCCAGGATCAGAGTTGAAATAACTGGTTTAGCAACCAGAATACCTCTCTGAAGGGCTTTTACCAAGTTTTTGACCGGTAGCAGCTGGAGTTTGGTGGGGTTGTGTTGTTTGTCTTTTTGTGCCTGGCTAGTGAAAATAATTTCAGCCTAACAGCTCTTTTACCAAGGTGTGTTTTTTGTGGTTTGTTTTCTTTTTTTCCCTGGATCAAACTAGATGCCTTTGATAACTTGATATCTTTAGGAATTAGTGGCTGTCAGAGTTATATCTGTTTTAGTGAAGTTGGGTGTTAAATTCGCACAACTTTGAATCAAGTTTGGGAACTGAGAGAGATCTGGATTTAGGTGTGACCAAAGGTCATTTTCCTTGTGATCATTATGCTGTTGTGAGCCACTTTCCAATTGACAGCTCTGTCTGCCTCTGTACTTGCAGGCCTTGTTCCTATGTGAGGATCCACGTGCTAAGTGTTACCTTACAGTCCTGGAAGAGTGACTGCACTCTCTGCTCACAAGAGTTGAGTCTGCTGCCTCTTTGATCTCTGCTGTAGTTGTGGCAAGACCATGGGAACGTTTCCGAGTTGAATTTGAAACAAGAAATAGATAAGAAAGACTATTTCTATACATGGTGTGCTGAAATGTATGGAAAGTGAATCATAGAGTCATTAAGGTTGGAAAAGACCCCTAAGGTTACCAAGTCCAACCATCAACCCAACACCACAGTGCCTACTAAACCATGTACCAAAGTGCCACATCTACACGTTTTTGGAACACCTCCAGGGATGGGGACTCCACCACCTCCCTGGGCAGCCTGTTCCAATGCCTGACCACTCTTTCAGTAAATAAATTTTTCCTAATATGTAATCTAAACCTCCCCTGATGCAACCTGAGGCCGTTTCCTCTCATCTTATTGCTAGTGACTTGGGAGAAGAGAGCAACACCCACCTCACTACAAGCTCCTTTCAGGTAGCTCTAGAGAGCGTTAAGGTCTCCCCTCAGCCTCCTCTTCTCCAGACTAAACAGCCCCACTTCCCTCAGTGAGCAGTGGTTTAACTGCCTCTGATTTCAGACTCTGTTGGAGCACAAGTTGTGTGTGTGGGTCTTGCTGAGAGCTTTTAGTCTCTTCAGAGCCACTACGTGGCCCTGTGAGTATTACCTTCAAGCAATTTGCCAATGTTAATGCTGGTTGTAAAAAGGATATGCTGAGACTTTCATGTGCAGTACTCATAATTGGAGTACTTGCCTCAGAAGCCTTTTCTGATGTATGTTTATCGCAACTGTAGTCCTGCAGTGCAGCCTCTGCATAGCTGACGGAGAGGGTCTGAGCATGCCTATGTCCGAGGATGGAGTTAGGGGATGGGGGTTGTACCCTAGAAGTGCAGTTTGGGCTCTGGTCTTGTGTGTGGCCAGAATTTGAATGTGTGTGTAGATGACACATTTTGAAGAACTGTAGTTGGTAGTAATCAATCTTAATGCTAACAATGAGACTTAATAAAACCCCACCATTCTGTGGACAACAGAAGTAATGAACCCTCACATCCTGTGATGGCTGTACACTCCCCACCCCTCTCATTTGTCCTCTACCCTCTAATTGCCGGGTGGTGAGAAGCACCACCTGCCCCCTTCCAGCTGGGCGTCCCCTGACTGCTCAGCTGTCAAGCAGGTGCTAATTTGCAAGGCAGGGAAGCACAGAGGTTAAGACCCAGCTTCACACTGGAGACAATTCCTCTCTGGTGGAACTAATTTGAATGTTAGTCCCAGCAGCCAGTTTTTGAAGATTTAGGTGTTCTGTATCTTTGAGGTCTCGTAGTTTTGTGTCACCTTTGGTTAAAGTTGTTTGAAATTTATTTCAGTGACAACTGGAAGGGTGAGTGAAGTGGTTGCGTGAAACTTAATTTCCCTTAGAAAATGAGCGAAAACAGGTACTGAAATATTTAATTTCTATTTTTTCATTGACATTTTTTGCGGCAGTGGCTACTGGTGACTGAGCAGAGTGTTTTAGGCAGCCCAGGGCTGACCTGCAGTGCCCTTTTGTGCGGTGCTACCTTATGAGATGGGCAGCGTGGCCTGGGAGCATCTGCGTTTGCTCTTAGCCAGCCCTTTGGATGTGCACCCTCTCGCTGACGGACCAGTAATCTGTGTCTGCCAGAGGGAGAGCTGAGTCTGGAAGATGGATTGCATGATACTTCTTTCTATAAGCAAGAAATAAAAAAAGAGGGGGAAGTTAACTTGGCTAGATAACTTCCGACAGGGTCTGAAGACCCAGTAAGATACACCCTTGCCCTCTGGCTGTGCAGTTTGAGCTGCACGCTGCAGCTAAACAGCTGGCTGAATGAATACTCAGTTAATTTCAGTACAAAAGCATTGGCCCAGCTTCATGTCAATGTTCAGTTCAAGCAGCCTTGCTTTAGTTTTTCCGTATTAAAAATTCTGTCATACCTAACAGGTCAAACAAAGATCTTTGTGCAACTGACCACTGAAATCAAGAATTGTGCAGTATGCTGTAAAGGGCTGAAGATAATTTTAAGTTGCCTGGAATGTATCTGATTTGAATGAAGAAGATAAAATTGGTGAAAAGGGTTCTGTCATTCAACAGAAAAAGTTGGTTCTTTTATATAGTGCCTTTGTCCTCAAGGTTTATTCAGGGTTTTGCCTTTTAGCACCTTTGTATAACAGCTGGTTACAAGAATTTTGCAGTTAATGCTTAATTAAAGCAGAACTGAAATATTTACTATCTTAATATAGTGGATTTACAAACAAACAGAAGTGTACAAATATAGCCGTTCCATTGAATTGCATGCTTTTCTGACTGAAGTTTGATCAGTGGCGCTGTGAATAATCAGTCTTTGGCGACAGAGAAGGAAAGTTGTTTTGTGCCATGGAGCTCTAGATCGTTTTTTCTCTCTCCGGTATAAAATCAGGAACTTAGTTGATAACTTCCACATTGGGAGTTTAAGTAAGTGTATCCTGCTTAAACAAGGTTTTCATCTTGTTGGACGGTTTAGAAAGTAATGTGTGCCTTTCCCCTTACCCTATTCTTTGAAAAGGTCTTTCAAAAGAGTTCTTAGATGTTTTTAACCATAAAAAGACTAAATCACTTTTTGCTTAAAGCTATCTCAGAGGCATCATATAAGCTTTCCTCCCTCTTCTTTATGAAGAAGGTGGCTAGATGTTCAAAAGTTCTGGTCTTTAAGTTACAGATATTAGCAAAAATACATTTAATGATCTAAATAAAGCAAGTCTTCTCTTAGCTTGTAACGATACATGGTACACCTTTGTTAGCCCTTTTATAGTACAACATCTTTCAGGTAATGTACACAGAACAACTTATTGTCGAGGTATTTTTTACAACTGAAGAGGACAGCCTTGTGTATTGCTCTCCCTGTAGGCTGCGACTTAAATTCAGATACCAGTTGTGGAAGTAAAAATAGAAAAATGAATTAAGTTTGAAGCATAGGCACTTGACTGCGGTATTTATGCCTCTACAGGCGAAATGTCAGCAGTCATGCTAATGCTGAAGTCTTCACTTAGCTTCAAGTTGAACTGATACACTTTTGCTCAAGCTCTTAGTATTGTAGGCTTCGGGGGGAAAAAAGAGTTGTTTCGTTAGTAATGCTATTATTTTTATTCAACCTTGACTAGAAAAAAATGAAAGAGCTGGAACAGAAGCTTCAGGAGGAAGAACACGCGAGGAAGCTTGTTCAGGAAAAAGCAGCTGAGGTAACCAACAGGAAGTTTCTTTTGTACTGGTACGCACTGTAATTAGCTCTTCCTTTCCGTCAACTTTTCACCTAAACTTGGTGAAAGTGCCCCCCATATACAGAATAATGAAAACCTTGTTTTAGGGTTGTTCAGTGTTGTGTTTGGGGTTTTTTTTTTCCCTTTTCCTCTCCTGTCTGAGGTGCCAAATGCTCTGAAGTTCTCTGAGCTTTGTGGAAACCTTTTTCTAACAGCACCTGTGCACTGAAGCTTGATGTCTTCAATAAAAGAGGAATAGAAATTCAGACTCATTCATAGTTGAGGTTGTATGAGGATCTCGGCTTTAAATGGATCAAGGTCAACAAGTGTGCTCCCTTGTTCGTAGTTGTGACTAGAAATACTGTAGAAGGAGGCAAAAAAGCGGCAACACACTATCAGTTACGAGCCCATAAGGGCACTGGTCTTCTCCTAACCTTGAAGTGTTCATAGTGTGCTAATGAAGTGCGTAGTTAACATGTTAGGCTCTGGCATTAACCTTTGCCATGAGTTTGTGGGGGGGAAAGTGTGTCTCAAATTCGTCATGAATAACTGTTCTGTGAATGCTTCTAGCTGAGATTAGTTAGGAGATGGTATCTAAAGCCATGGCATAGCTTCCTCTTGGAAGGAACAGCGAAGCATGTAGAGCTCACTTTTGACAGGGAGAATCCTAACCTTAACTCTTCCAATAGATGATTTAGGTTTTGTTTTTTTTTACTATCGAATTTAATAGGACAGAAGGAATAGTTGACTCATGCCACAGCATCAGTTGAGCAGGGTTGGGTGGCTTAACTTCCCTAATATTTTGTGTAGTGTAAAGCACAGCTGATGTTTGGGCGCTTGCCTGTATGGGAGTAACGCAGTGAGACTAATTCTCTAACTTACTAAGATTAGTGATGAGTAGTGCTGCCAGAGGAGGTATTTTTACTTAATGTTTAAAATTGACCTTGGGCTGCAAAAGCATCCTAAAAACTTGTAGCCCTTGCTTTCAGAGAGCCTGTATTTTAAAAATTCTTGCTTTGCAATTCTCAGCTTACTCTGTCTCTGATTATCTATTAATATAATTCCAGTAACTCCCCTTATTCCCTCAATTAAAGCTGCAGACAGGCCTGGAAACCAACAGACTGCTGATTCAAGCAGCATCACCGTTGCTCTCTCCAAAACCAAGAAAACCCAGGAAAACTAAGCAGCCAGAGAAGGTAACGTGGGGGGAAGAGAAGGGCGGTTACTGAGGAGTTAAATAAGGGGGTGTGCATGCAGTCGGGAAGTAGGTTGCCTCTTCTATTACAAAGCAACAGGAAAATGGGTTTGCTGTAAGTGTCATCTTTGATAAACATTTCTCTCTCCTTTCTTTCCAGAAATGCTCTCTTACAAGCTGCCTCGCTGCGCAACCCCATTACAGACTGTGTCTGGGTGATGTGCCCTTCGTGGCTGGGAAGGTGAGCTCCTTACTGCCAAAGCTGAGTGCTCAGCAGCTGCTGCCCTCCAAGGGGCTTTGGCGTGGTGCACTCCTGACACCCAGCGGTCAGATCATTTAATTTTCTTTGACTTTTTTCTTCCAGTTTGTCTTCAGAAGGTTTGTTGGGTGTCGATAACTTGCTGAACTGGCATTTCCAAAAATGGGTCATCTCTGGGCTGCTTGTCAAGCTGTTCTTGTTAGTGCATATTCCTTCGAACAAAAAATACATTCTTGGCAGCAAATCAAAAATGTTATTGCTTTTAAATGCTCTCCATTATTATCAAGTAGATTGATGATGCCATTTAGAAGAAGTCTCTTTCACTTTTCCTGACAGTCTACCAGTCCCAGTCATTCAGTTGGTGCCAACGTGCAACATGTCCTACACCTGATGAAACAACACACGAAAGCTTTGTGTAACAGTCGGGTGGTGAATGATACTCCGCTAGCAAAACCCATCAGTGCCAGTCACCCTGCCAGCAAAAGCAGAAAGTCATCTCTGCCAAAGGACTCCTCTTCATCCCAGGAAGAGCTCTCAGAAGTGTTGCTGACTTTACAAGATGAATTTGGACAGATGAGTTTGTGAGTTTGGTGTAGTCTCCACTGCAGATTATGAATGTGAATGCTTTATATTTTTACCTGTTGCTTTAAAGTTAGAAGGTTTTGCCTGAGGAAGGAGAGAGTTTTAGGAAGTCTTTAGCATAGGAAGTCTTTTTTCTACTGGCTGTGGAGGCTGTCGTTTCTCCTTGCCGTTGAAGAGAGTGTCTCAGAAACAGTCTGGACTCCATACCTGTGTTTATATGCAGTAGCACTGAATCTGTAAGGGGGAAGGGAAGAAGTGTGGTAACAGCCCCTGATGGAATGGACAAATAGTCCATTAAAGGACAGCTTTACTGGTCAATTTGCTTGTGCTCGTTAGCAGGACATGAATTGTTCTCCTACTGCACAACTGCAGTCGATACAGATAAGCAAAGGAGTAACTGAAGGAGTGCTGATGTCATGCCCTCGGGAGTTACTTGGTCGTTTTGAATATGTGATTTAAAGTTTGAAGCTACTTTTGTTATTGAGACTTAATGTTACAGCAGCCTGCCACCAGGATGTGCTACTGTAATAAGGCTGCTAACCAGCAAAACTGTTCTGCCTGGTTCATTACGGCATGTGAAACATGTCTGGCGGCTGATGCTACGGTTTCCCAGAAGTGTTATTTCTGGACTGGGTGTACAAGCACTAGAAGCCAAGGGAGTCTGATGCAAGCTTTGTTCTGTCTGAATTCTGTGCTAGTGATCACCAGCAGCTGTCAAAGCTTGTCCAGGAAGCTCCAACCGTTGCAGTGAGGGAAGATCTGGAGAGGGAACTTGAGGCGCTGGTGGAAAAGATGGAAGCGAAGGCAGACCAGATCAGCAAAGTCCGGAGGCATCGGTTGCAGGTGAGGTGCTTTTGACTGTGTTCATGGTTCTGTAGAGTTGCTGTCTGAAGGTGTGGGTTTTTTATGTTACATCCTAAGCTAGCAGCAACTGGAAAAAGCAGGAATAACTACTGCAGAGCAGTAGTGCCTAGCTGTAGCTTTGATGTTCCAAAGTTAGTCTGCACACCTCCATCTTTCTATCCCAGTATTTCTGCAGAAGCATCCTTTCAGTCTTACCATGTCACCCTTGTACCTGCTTGTCATCCTGTCCTGGGCAGAGCTTTCACATCTGTTCTTGCATTGCATTTACACTCCTCTCATCCCCTGAATATTTTAACAGTTCTCCTTTGCTTGGAGTAAATGGCCTATTCAAGTTTTGATCTGCATTTTATAGAACCTGAAATAGCTGTTTCTGTTTAAAACAACTTTCAAAATGTTTTGAGTAGTGTAGTCTGTTCATTCAGAGCTGTAAAACCTATTGATTCCCTCTTTTCTCTAATCTTCATTCCTTTTAGTGAATTTCTTCCAAAGAGCTTAACCCCAGTTGTTTAATCTGGTTCAGTTCACGTGAACCAAGAGTCGCTCTCCCCTGACATAACTTATACACAGCATACTCACTGATAGCACTGTTGCTGACATCCAAAATGGACATGTGAATGTTTTCAGTTAGAAGCACTGCTCACCTTTGATCTCTTACGATCTTCAGAGGAACTGTTGCAGAGAAACAGATGTGTAGTAGTTCCCGGTCGTAACGATTCTGCGTATACTGAGGCTTCTGGCTAGCTGTTGACAAAAGCTTTTAGGAGTCAAGATTGAGGAAAATTGCTGCATGCTGTGAACTAGGAGGGGGGAGCAGCACCATGACCCGAAGAGAGGGGAGCTATAGAAGCCCCCCGTTTTGCAGTTAGAGAGTGTGAAACTGCCTGCATCCCAGACCACCTACTCCCCTGTTCAGGCCGATGCCGGCGCAGTCCGTGTCGCTGAGCACCGAGTTGTGTGAGCCATGGTTTGGAGTGCTCTGTGTGGGTGCCAGCTCCTCACCTCAGCAGAGTTTTGGTATTCTCTTTAAAGCTACATCTCTGACAATGGTTAGCTATTAAAGTCACTAGTGTGTATGTAGAAAAAAAAATTGTTTTCTGTTTGTGTTTTTTAATCACTGGATGGGAACAGTATCAAAGCAACTTTGTGTCATGTATAACTTTTTCTGTTACATTCATAATGGGGATGTTCCCCCATAATGAACTTGTCAGTTTTTAAAGAGATAACCTAGTAGTTCAGACTATAAGTTAAACACAGTTCTAGAGATGCAAATATAGCAATGCTGTGTAAGGAAAATAAAATATTTATTATTCAGGGTGACTTGGCAGCATCCATGTGCTTCGTTTGAGGTGAGAGGTAGGATACTTCAGCTGTTTCAGCTGTCTGGAAGAGCTGCCCAACATAAACTGAAACAAGGTGACCACTGAATGTTTGTCTTTGGGCTTCTCTTTCAGCTAGAGAGACTTAAGAGAGAATCCAAGTCCAAAAAGACTTCTGCTAAACAAATAAAAGACGGCAGGTTCCCTGTCAGTGAGGTTAAAGTAACAACTACAGTAACCACGAAAGGAAAGAATGCCGGTCCCATCAAAGTGAAGCCTGGAGAGAAGAGTCGGAAGAATCTTCAGTTGTTGAGAGACATGCAGACCATACAGACATCGCTACAGAAAGATGATATCAGCTGGGACTACTGACGGTGCTGCAGGAGATGTTCATGAACCATCCCGGTCAAACATGCTCACATTCTGGATATACAGCAGCTGCCTTTCACACCGCAAGAAAGAGGCTACTCTATGCTAGGTGCACTTTCAAAATATGGGCCCTTCATTCTCCATCCCTGGGTTTGATTGTATGCATTGTGGTCTAGCTTAAAACACATTCCATTCCTAAGGTACCAAGCCACCGAACCTAACTGTCGGTCTCTGCCAGCTCTGCGTTGCGGTTCCAGCAGTCCCTCTGTTTTCTCTCAGCACACCAAGCACCGCACGCTCCTGAGGCTTGGGGCGTGTGAAATGTCAGTGCTGTTTCACGCTGCCGTTGAGCTGTGCGTTGGAGGCCGCTCGAGGTGCGTCTTGTTAGAGAACGGCACTGTGGCCCGAAGCCCTAAGGGCTGTCGTCAGTTCTGCTCTCTGCGCAGCTGCGGGGACTCGGGGTGTCTCAGGGAGAACAGGTAAACCCTTGAAAGGTGTTCTGTGTAGCTCTACTCAGAAAGCTTTCCCTGTTCCTGTTCTGCTGCGTTGCATTAGTCAGCACTGATGGCAGCAGATGTTTGAGTACTCAAAAAAGGAGCAAAATAACTTTTACAAATTATTTTGCATAATGATTCATTTAATTCTTTTTAAGTCTGAAGAGTGAATTTTTTTCTACGGAAATCCTACTTTATGAAAAAGCTGTAGGATAGGGGATAATATCCCGTGTCCTAGTTTACAGCTTTGGGTGGTAAAGGAGTGAGATAACCCACGAGTGTTTTATACCGCAAGTGCCACAATAATTCCCTTCAGTCCTGGCATCTTGCTTTTAACTTGAAATACGTGCTTTGAGCTATCTACTTGGGTAGTGGTGCAATTCATTTTGCACTGACTTGCACAGCTGAGTAAATGTTATTTATTATGTTAATAATGTACAGAATTTCCTATTAATGGAATGTATAGAAGACCCATATTACCCATTCATACAGTTGAAAAACAATAAAGCTGGCTTGCCTGTTGACTGCTGTGTGGGAGGGCTGCACTTCCCTGTAGATGGACTCGGTGTTGCAGCACTGTGTGTTTTCCTCCCCCCTAAGAGTCAGGAGGCTGAATAATGAACGGACATTGTCCCTTCCTCAAACACATACAAAATTCACGCTGCAAGAGGGTATGACTACTCCAGTATATCAACATTTTATTCACTCTTTAGAACATGAATATTTAAAAAGAAGACATTTTTCCCCATGCAGAAGCTTAAATAGAAGCTCTTATCTGAAATAGTAAAAGCTGTTATTTTTTTTCAAGAGGTTTTAGACTGTATAGTTACATACACAGGCATCTCAAATGAGAGGGCACCATACATACATGTAATTGGTTGCTTTTTCTTTTTCCTCGGCAGTCTGTACAAAACGTGAAAATGTGCCTGCTTCTGACTAGCCATTAAAAGGCAGTGGTTGCACCATACTGTGATTTGGGGAGCTGAAGAAAATAGCCAGAACTGACTGATATCTGATAAACAGTAACAGGAGTCAGTTTATTGCACCAATCGTTAAATAATGGTGCTGATTATAAGGCTGCTAACTGCAGATGCTGTAATTGTCTGTCATAAATCTTAGTCATTTGTGACAGGAGCACAATGAAAGTGCCCTGCAGCTGAACAGGCAGGGACTGCTGTGGGGTCAGTGCAGGCAGATGAGATCTGAGTATTAATGACCTGTAAGTGATCCACCGTGCTTGCATCGGAGGCACAGAAGGGTTTAGCTGTGAGGGGAGAATCACAGAATGTTCGGGGTTGGAAGGGCCCTCTGTGGGTCATCTGGTCCAATCCCCCTGCCAAAGCAGGGTCACCTACAGGAGGTTGCACAGGACCTCGTCCAGGCGGGTCTTGAATATCTCCAGAGAAGGAGACTCCACAACCTCCCTGGGCAGCCTGTTCCAGGGCTCTGCCACCCTCAGAGTGAAGAAGTTCTTCCCTCATGTTCAGACGGAACTTCCTATGCTTCAGTCAGAAGAGAAGTCAGAAGCTGCTAACCAGGCCTGGAGCCATCCCCCTTACCTTCATTGATGTTAGAGACACAGGCTCCAGGTAGCTGGAATAACCACTTGGAGAGCAGCTCCTCCTGGAGCTTCTGCAAAATCGGGAGCTGAAACTCCACTGAGTAATTCTGCTTTGGAAGGAGCTCTGGGGCTTGGCTTGCTCCAAGACGGGTGAACTTTGGTGTTTCCTTGGCTGTGCCCATGCAGCTCCTTACTGGTGGAGGCCTCAGGAGTTCTTCAGGCTCCATAGGCACTGTGTGTGGTGAATGGGGTGCCCAAGTTGGAATTAGGCGTACTAGGGGTGGGAGCATCAAGGAGCAGGTGTTGAGTTGATCCCAAATCATCCCTGTGAATTTGGGCTTAACATGAGTCACACAGAATAATGGAATGCTTTTATACGGAAGTTACTGTACTAATGCACCCTAAAGTGCAGAAATTGTTTGATTTTTTTTTTTATTGTGAAAGTATTTTTGTAATATTGAGCAGCTAAGCACTGTAGCTGTATTAATACTGGTCTGTATAGGATAAGAGAAACTTGTCCACAGATGAATTTTGTTTTCCTGTCATTCTAAACTTTAGAGTTTGAACATCAGCATCTTGCAAGACCACCTGCAGAAGAATGAGAGATTTGGATTTAACATACTAAATTTTCAGTGCTGTTTTATTAATGTTTGCATGTCCTCCAAGTCCTTTGAAGACCCACGTAGCTGACAATAAGAACACAGGAACTTTTCCCATTTATCAATTTTTTATTAGTGTTAAGGAAACCAAACAGCCTTCCAGAAACAATATATACACACATAGTCAATTTGCTAACACAGAATAACGCTATGAACCATCTCACATGGTGATTGTACGGCGGAGCAGGTCTGCCCTTTAACCTTAAAGCCCATCCAACTCCTTTGGCAGGTATTTCGTGTGGATTCTCCGCACTGCTGAGCCACGAGAAATGCAGTGGTGCCGTAGGGCCTGTTCCTCGTCCTGGTGGAAGGTGGCTGGGGATGTCTCTGCAAGCACCGAGACGCTGCTGGCAGTGGAGCAGGTGGAAAGGGAGGCTACCGGGAAAATGGCTGGTACTGCCTCGGGAGTAAATTGCTTGTGGAAGGCGGTGTGTTCTGTGTGAACTGGTCCCCTCTCGCACCTGCTCAGAAAATGCTGCTCTGGTGGAAGAGGTGGTGAGCGAAGAAGCACGCAGATGGCTCTGAGACGGGTGACCGCAGGATGGGATCCTGTCGTCAAGGGCAGTGCAGGAGCCCAGACCAAGCAGTGCCCTGTCCCTGGGCGCAGAGATGAGAAGCAGCCTGCAGGGAAGGGCCTCGCACGCATGTAACTTCCTTTGCCGTAAAACCTATTGGCTGCAGCCCTGCACTCATCCCCTTGTAAGGGCAACGGGGCAGTTGTGGTTCCACCAAGTGTGTTTTTTCATCCCTGCTTCTACAAAACTGAATTGTCAGGTGATGCTAATTCTTGAAATATGCTATGAGGAAAAAGACATCAACATCGGGCTCAGAAACCGGCTAAGCTGCTTAGTCTGGCAGAATACCCTTAAGTGGCAGTTGCAATGCAGGCAGAAGGGCTTCTTTGGTTGATACACAGTTGCTTCCATTAGTTAACAGAAAACCAAAATACTTTAAGTACACCACTATGATCCTGCACAGAAGCATTAAAATCACTGACTACGCTTACCCAAGTGAAACGAAACGAGGGATGCCAGCAGTTCACAGGTGCCCCTTGCTGTCCCCTCCCCTTCCCTGTGGAGCTGGAGGCACTGGAGGACAGAGGGGCTGCAGAAAGCCCCGGTGAGCCACGGTCTGCTTCCCCCTCAGAAACAGGCGCTCGAGTTGCGTCCTGGCACGCCCAATGTAAACCGTAAGCGAGACTCCAAAGCTGCAGAGATGGATGTAAACTTTGTCCTACAAAGTCATGTAGGTTGCTCCTCTACCACCCTGCTTTGTCGGTAGAAGCTGCCCTTTCTTTAAATAAGGCATTGTTTACATGGCTTCCTGTGATCTAGATCAAAGGGACGGGAAAAGCCAGAAGGGTGCTGTGTTTCAGAGACTGTCGCCGCTTGCCTCTAACACTGCTGTGCAGACACCCGCAGCGGAGGGTTTCGTGGCTTTCCAGCGGCAGTCTAGGCTCCGGGTGCAAAGTCAAGATTCCTTTTCGAAAGAGATTTTTCAGACTTCTGAATAGATGTTTCTCCTCCACAGTACTTCATTCCAGTGCACAGTCTCCCTTTAAAGCCAAGTGACTTCCAGCACGTGAGTGAACAAAGAGCGAGCGCTAGGTTTCTTTTAGGTGGCAAGTGCAATTAGCTTGTGTTATGATCTAGCCACTGAGAAGGTTAATTGCATAGGGGGCCTTGTTTGTTTGTTTTTGCGTAAGCTTCCTCTAGTGCTACAGTACTAATAAATTACCCTGGAGAGAAATAAATAAATAGGTTGGCATCTCCCAGACACCGCGCTGGAAATCCAGAGGGTTTCGGAACAGCTGCCTCTGCGGTCCTGGGAAGGTACTTGGCAAAAAAAGTCCGTGTTACACAACTGTCTGTACAGGAGCGACGCACTGCGCGGGAGAGCCGGCTCTTTCTGAGGACGAGGTGGAACGGCTGGTGATTTCTCTCTGCAGCTCCTCCACTTTCTTCTGCAGCTCAGCCCGCTTGGCAAGAAGCTCCTTGTAGCGATTGTGGACAGGTTCCTGCAAGAAAACGCGTAGCTGAGTGCTAGGAGGCAAGCGTGGAAGCCTGAACCACAGAACGCTGCAGCTGCCCCGCGGCTCTGAGAGGCGGTGGGGGCTTTGGGACGTGCGTTTTTATCCAACGCATGTAGTGTAATGGCGGGTAAACAAAACTGTGTGCATTTGGAAAGGTGACAACTACAGAACGGTAATCTCTGCCGTTTCTGGGGGCACTGGCCTTGACACCTCAGCCTGGATGTAATTTCAGGGCTTGGGGGGGAACCCAATACATATTTATCTAACTATTTTCACATAGTGCTGACTGTTAAACAGATCATACTGGAAAGCCTTTGCTGGGTTCCTGTAGCTAACGCCCCAGATGTGCAGACCCTGCTCGCTGCAGCTGGACACTGAGGCTGTCCCCAGGGATTCTGTCCCTCCGCAGTAGGAAGTGGTTTCAGCACCCAGCCGTCCCGGGCACCGGCCCTGCGCACGCCGGCTTCCCGCTGTCGGCGGCCTCGGGCAGCCAAAGCATGCAGCAGGTTGCTGGTGCCTCGAACTGCTCAGATCTAGAATCCCACATCCAAAGAAGCCTTAGGCTTTTAGGCTCTCTTGTAAAGAAGAGACAATTCAGATGATTTTCCCCATAGTCTAAGTGAGAAATTTTGCAGACTGACGAGCATCTTCAGCTCCTGCAGATCTCTCGCTCCAGCTAAGCACCCACACCAGCCACCTGTAGGTGCTGCTCCTCCGTTCAAATTCAGGATTTTGTTTTCAGATTTAAGCAGTGGCAGCGTAAGTTTGTACATTACTACTTGCGCTTCCAAGGACCTGCGCTCCAAAACACCAGAACTAGCAGCAGCAGGGAGGGAAATGAAGGCAGGACGCTCGGAGGAGCCATACCTGAGGTTTCATCCTGGGGTTCCAGCGGATGTAGTAGCCGACCCACAGCTCGAGGTGCCGCATGCTGGCCACGGGGTACAGCACGTGGTGGGAGTAGCTCACGTACAAGGGGTTAGTGAAGTCTTCCAGCTGGCTGTTGATGTAAGACCAAAGCGACACGGTCTTTTTTGGAAGGCTCTGCAAGGGAAGGGGGTGGAGGAGGCTTTATTTCCCATACGAATCCCAGCATTTATCTACAAAGTCTATATAACAGCACATACGTATGCCTGTCATTAATACAGAGCTGGCTGCTGTCTTGTAGCTTAAAAAAAACCCCAAACTCCGTTCTTTTGATGTGGTTATTGCAATCCAAGCACATGGATGCAGGCAGGCACACACGCACCCTGGGATGGAAACGTCCTCTCTTACCCACCCAGCTGCCACCACAGACCAGAAATCCCCACCGGCAGCAAGGGGACAACTGACCTGTCAACTCTCAATGCTTTAGTTAAACTTCACCTCCTCAGAGTGCTCCTGGAGGACTTGCTGGAATGTTTAATTGGGGGGAGGAAGGAAAGAAAACATTTGACTTAGCCCTGATCTAGTGGAATAATTAGGCCCGTGAATAGTCCCAGTGAGACCAGCGTTGAAGTGCTTTCTAGATTAAGTACTTCACTAGGCTGAGGCCTTAAAAAAACCCCCCAAAATCCCACAAAGAGCACACAGGTTGCCCCTGTACTTGGCACTGGTGAGGCCGCACCTGGAGCACTGTGTTCAGTTTTGGGCCCCTCACTACAAGAAGGACATTGAGGTGCAGGAGCGTGCCCAGAGAAGAGCAGTGAGGCTGGTGAGGGGTCTGGAGAACAAGTCTTATGAGGAGCATCTGAGGGAGCTGGGTCTGTTTAGTCTGGAGAAGAGGAGG